TTCTTTCCAGTTTTACATTTTTGTTGGCAGTGATCCTTTCAAGGCCGATCCTGTTGGGGAAATTGGTCTATTTGGAGGCGATCCTTCAAGGGTTCGGATCCATGTACATCAGACAGCTTTCTCAGGTGATCCTCTCCTGAGGCTGTGGCCACGTCTGTTGTTGAGCCTTTCAGTGCAGCTGGCATCATCAGTGACCCTTTGGTAGAAACACTGAGGCACAGTGACCCTATCGCTCCTGGTGGAATGGTTGTTGTTGCAGCTAATGATTTGCCCACAGACCCGTTTACCAATATTAACAATGGTGGTAACTATTCCATAGGAAATGCCTGTGACCTCCAAACCGATTGATGTAAATTTATGAAACAAACAAATCTGAATCAATTTAAAACTGGTCTGGAAAATATTTAAAAAGCTACTTAAAAGGAACCTTATGCATTACTTAAATAAATGATGGCAACAATTTAAAATTACTTATTTATTATCAATATATTACAACTTGTGCTCAAGATAGCAGAAGAAGTAGAGGAAGTACTCAAATCCTCCCATGTCCACAGTGAAATCACAACTAAACTACAGAGCAACCAGCATTCAGAACCACCTGGAATCTTGGTGATCAGAAGGTCCCTGGTAAGGATACAAAGAAGAAGCCGCATGGAGCTGGTAAGAGGGGTGGAGATGTGCATTGAGCTGGACCACGTTGAGCAGGTATCAGGACTTTTTTTTTTTTTACTTTGTTCTTCTTGGTTTATAAATAATCCCACAGCCCAGCCAGTGTGGCTCAGTGGTTGAACATTGACCAATGAACCAGGATGTCACTGGTTTGAATCCTGGTCAGGGCACCTGCCTGGGATGCAGGCTCCATGCCCAAAAGGGGGCATGCAGGAGGCAGCTGATGTTTTTCTCTCCTCAATGTTTCTATTGTCTATCCCTCTCTCTCTAAAATCAATAAAAACATAGTTAAAAAAGGAAAAATAAAATAAAAAAAGAACTCTAGGGTGATAAAGATACCACATTTTGTTGGGATGGATGTGACACAGCATGAAGGGGTGTATAGATGTGAATCCAAACCAGCCATGTGGGATGGACCCTCACGTCACAGAGTGAGAACAGAAGGATAAGGAAGCAGTCAGCTAGGAAAGGGAGGGAGGGAGTGCACTCAAGTTGGATGGATGAGGCGTCCTCTACAGGGACAGGGCCCACGTTCTCCTGAACCCATACCTCACCTACCACATCTTCTCCCCCATTTATAGGATGTTCTCAGAAGACAGTTTGCCCAATTATGGTCCATATTCTCCTTCATCACCTCCTGGGGTCATCAGATGGGCTCCAATGCTCCCCCACTTCGAATGATGTGTTGTTGCCTCTGTGTTCACATCCTGGCTGCATCGCGGGCCCTTCTGGTGTCATTTCGAGCCTGAAATAGCAGCACCCCGAGGACCACCAGGACCAAGCCAGCCATGCCCATCCGGATGAGATTCTCCACTGTGTAGTCTTGGGGATGGAAAAATAAGGATTGTGGGTAAAGAAGTCTTAGAGGTTAGGGCAGACCCAAACCACCAGGATTCTGGTGTCTTCCCTGGGCTCCCACCTCCCCTTCACATTAGCATTCCAGTGATGTCTGAACTCAGCACCTGCTCTGAGTCACCTTGTAAGAGCTGTGCCCAAAAACTGAGGATGAGAGTAGATATGATTACAATTCAGAAATAACTAAGAGCTGTGTGTTCTGTGGTTCAGCCTGAGACTCAAGACCCCATGAGCTTATTCCTGTACAGCTGAGAGATCCCACCTTCTCAACAGCTGGGGATCCAGGGTCCATTGAGGAGGGTGTGGGATCAGGGGCTCCTGAATCCCAGGAGCACGAAGGGTTGAATATGGTCTGGGTCTCCTTCATCCGACCACACCCAGGCCCTTCCTCTCTGGGGTCTGCATTTTCATCGTCACCTGGAATGTTCATCTATTGATTCTTTCATTATTTATACATTAAATACATTTTTATTGACTTCGGAGAGGAAGGGAGAAGGAGGGATAGAAAAATCAATGAGAGAGAAAGATTGATTGGCTGCCTCCTGCACACCCCCTACTGGGGACTGAGCTTACAGCCTGGGCATGTGCTCTTGGTCAAAATAGAACCTGGTACCCTTCAGTCCAAAGGCCGGTGGTCTATCCACTGAGACAAACCCACTAGGATTTAACTCATTTATTATACAATTATACAAATGAATACCTACAGTGGTATATATATTTACCAAATCAAAATTTGGATATATGGATGCTAATGATGTGAGTTTTTGCTTTATCTCAAAGTACAACAAAGGTCATAACCAAGGAAGTCCACACTTCTGGCTCAAACTTTAAGTCACAGAGAAAATCCCCCTAATTTCATTCTTAAGTGAGCACCCAAAGTAGGAAATCACGTCAATCTAGTCACCTATTTTGATATGGAATCTGACATATAAACAACATTATTGACCTCGCCTCATTACAGCGATCCATGCAATAACTCTATGTGTCAGCTCCACAATTCAGTAAATGCACATGGATGATCAGTGTCACTCAGTTGGGTTAATATCCAAATGGGTGACACCAAGAAGCCTTTGTAATGTTTATCATGAGTTTAAAATTCAGAGAAAAGATCATTATGGGGGGATGTGCATCTGTCAGGAAAAGAGACCCTTCCTAGTAAACCCCAATGAAACGGAAGAACTGATTGGAACAAGTGGCCAATAGTGCTTTCAATGTAAAATGCAAATTTGTAAGTGGATTTGCCTTGACATAACTTTGGGTGTGAATGAAGCTGTTTTCCGGAGGGGACTCTGTGGCCCAATTTTTGTCCGTCATTCCATCCTATGGGACGTGGAGTGAGTAAAATAGGTATGCCATCGGGAATAAAGGAGTGACATTCCCTTTAACTGCTGGGGATTATAATTTTATATCATAGGGACCAACTGAAAAACAATCCACAGGGAGAGAGTCTTTGGGAGGCTAACAAGCCATGATATAAGTATGTCCACACAATAGCTTTCCTATGTGCACTTACTACCATATAGGAAATCTACATGAACCAAACGGCTTACTCACAAATTACAATATTAGGTGTGTAATTTTCTCAGTGGGCTGTGCACTTACTCAATTATACAAGTAGCTGTCAAAATGCTTCTGAAGTTCATTCATAAAACTCATTTGAAAATGTGCCTGATAAGAAGACTTTAAATAAACAAGAAGCTGTTCTCCATAACAAATATCTGAATTTAATCTACTCCCAATGAAAAGGGAAATAGAATGTTTATATTTCTAGCTGGACTCAGTATAATGTAAGTTAAATCGTGACCTTGTAGACTGGAGGTATTGCCTGAAGTATTTATAAAAAGAGCCATAATAGACCTGTGTGCACAGAAACACTGAGCAGAGGGGAATGCACAGAGTCTGGGCAGGAGGCCCCAGATCCCCTTGAGGCCTGTAGGGTCCCTCCTTGTTCTCAGGTGAGCACTGAGGGCCTGGAGGCCTCCAGTGAGCACAGGGAGTCATACAGTGTGGTGCCCACAGACAGGATGCTTCTCTCTATAAGGGAGTGTCCAGTGGGGGGCTGGGACTACAGGGACCCAGATTGTGAGATGAAGATGTCAGGAGGTGAGTGGTGGTGGTGGGGTCTGTGTTCTCTGCTCAGCTAATCACAT